TACATCTAATAAACATCTTTATTCTTAAGTGCCCTTAAGAATAAATACTGGAAGATCAAGCACAGCATGTGAATGGACATACTTATGTCAGGTATGTGCATGAACTGTAAAGGTCTCTGTGTCAACTTGCAGTGCTCACCAGAGAGCATTCAGTGCAGAAGAATCACTAAACAATAAAGCAAACTAAACACTTTGCCTAGTTGACATCATCCATCCTGCTTCAGTTATTGGCTACCCAGTGCTGGCACAGTGGGCACATGAATGGAGTGTCCACTGAGGAAAGGATGAAGACCAAGCATAGGTTCAGTAACTTGAGTTTCAACTTACCAAGGGTGCTGTAGCTCCTGCTGCTGCTGAATGTCCAGTGTACCAGGAACAGAGACAATTCTGCATCCCTGACATGATACCATTCTTCATGATCAAGCTGGTTACATTGGGCCCCTTCATCCTGAAAGAACCAACATTTCCTGGTCATAGAAATAGACACAATTTTCAGATACGAGTTTGCTTTTCCTGTTTGCAGAGCCTCAGCCAGTATCACCATTTGAGTTTACTTAGTATTATATTCATCAGCATGGGATCTCACATTATATCACATGAGATCAGAAACCTATTTTATGGAAAAGCAAGTGCAGGAGTGGACCCATATCTGCAGGATCCACTAATAATATTTTTTTCACCAACCGGAATCTGTCAGTCTGATAGAACATTGTTACAGCCTGCTGAAGGTAAAGCTGAACACCAGTTCATAGGCAATATTCCACAGGGATAGGATGCTATACTCCAAGATACAGAATATAATTGGATCAATTATCCTTATATAGCATGTGCCTCAATATGAACAAGAGATGGATATTGGAAGCCATTTATTCCTAGGAGTAGATGCAAAGAGGGTGGAAGAAGAGGTTCCTACTCTCCTTACCATCACTTTTAATGGCACATATGGTACTTTGCACTTCTTCATAACTTGGAACTCTGCAGTGAGAGGTCTTGGTCCCCCAAGGGGAAACACTTTTGCCAGGAGATACATCAAAAATCTCACTGAAAAACATACACTGCAGCAGCTACCTGGATACTTTAGGTTCCTTGTGTCCAGGGAACAGCAGCTAATAAAAGGAGTCAAGATCACTTGACCCTGATCAACAGGAGGTTGGAATCCTGGTTACACAACATGGGTGGATGTAGTAAGTGTGGTGCCCACATGATAAACCTACCAAACTGAAACTGTAATGTGTAGGTGTGGCAACCCACCTTCAAGGACATGATGACCTGGAACTCAGTCCTCTCAAGGAATGTGGGTCTGAGTTACACCAGATAAACTACCAGGAGCAGCAGAGGTGGTAGCAGAGACTGGCAGAAATCTAGAATTGATAGTGGAGGTTGAGAGGATGTGACAACTATTGATGGCATTCCTGAGCCTGACTGAAGCAGCAGGCACTGTAGTTTGGTCTGTTTACTTTCATCTTCTATTGCATTCCCACACCCCACTGCAGCAGCAAGCACTGTAATTTGTCCCACTAACCTCCATCTTCTAAATTTCCTGGGGGGTCAGGAAAAGAGGTCCCTTGAATTCTTTAGGAGCTGTTCCCTAAATATACAGGGAGACATAGATCTATGTGGAGCAAAGAGTAGATTGTAATCAGCAAAGAGATACGGTGCCCAATTCACTTTCAAGAAAGGACTAACTGCCCAGTTCCAGGGAATGAGGTCAGCAGCCTCCACCTGTCAGCTCCTTCAGAGTCTGCTTCAACTGCTGAAGGACATTGTGCTTGAGGTCATACCCTTCCCATGTCTGGTGACTGAAGTTCAGCTAAATGTAGCTGCCAAAGTTACCTTAATGAACACAGGAAGCAAAAAATCTAAGAGGTTAAACAGAGAATTGTGAGAAATAGCAAGTCATTTTTGTTTCAGAATATGACATTTTAGAGTAGCTTGTTATTCAGCAATAGGTAACAGAAAATGGTGACAGGAATGCGGTGTTATCACAACAAAAAGTTAAAACGTGATACTGGCTTTAGAACATGTAGCAGGTGACAACTGAAAGAGTGGCAAAGAGACTGTGGAAGCTGGAAATACAGTGTGGTAAGCCTAATAATGTCTCCTTAATGGTGTCCACCTAATCCTGAGAACCTCTGAATATGAATACCTTACATGATAAAAATGACTTTGCATATGTCATTAAGTTAAGCACTTTGAAATGTAGAGATTATCCTATTTTATCTAAGTAGGCTCAATACAAACATGAGTCCTTAAAAGTGAAAGATGGATACATAAGAGGATGTCAGAATGATGTGAAGTGAGAAGGACTCAACCTGTACTGGTGGTTTTACAGATGAGTGAAGGGAACTACAAGCCCCAAGCAGCCTCTGGAAGCTAGAAAAAGCAAAGAAACAGATTCTCTCCGGAGTGTCCAGAAAAGAATGCAGTTCAGCTAACACCTTGATTTTAAATCAGTGAGATTTTTGTGTTGGACTTCTACAGAACTATATAAGAATAAATTGTGTTGCTTAAGCACACTATAATACATGTGGCAAGGAGCTGCCAGCTAAGCCTTGAAGAATAGTGAACAAACCTTTACTGGAGGATGGGAAAGCAGTAAATACATTATTGAATTATTGAAAGAAATGGAGAGTTGAGTTATGCATTGACAGAATGCTTGGCAATAATTTTGCCTGTCTTAATATGGAATAGAAAATGAAACTTAATAGCTGGTTGATCTCTTGAGATTTCCAGGTGAATGTTGGAAGTACTGATTAACTTATTATGGCTGCTTCTCATAAGGTACAGGAAGACATTTACTGAGTGAACTAAAGAAGGAACTGTTCAATTTGAAAGCAGAATTTAGAGGAAATTTTCCAACACAGTACTTGTCATTTTTTTATAGAAAAGGAAAAATGAATGGAAGATGGAGCCAAAATCCCAGAGGGAGGATCCAAGAAGCAAGGAGAGCAATGGATTAGGAAACCACTACCAGCGGGATGAACTGAACTGCAATCAGCAATAGCCTCTTTCTTTGGTGTAGGGAGGCCCTGAAAGCAATTTTAGTTTTATACCTCCTGTTTCCTTGTCTCTCTTTTTTTGAATGATAGACTCTGTGTGGTGTTCCTCTCCTAGAAAACCTTCACTGGGAAAAGCTACTCTCAAGCATCTTTACTTGAGAAACAGTAACTGAGGATGTTTGTTATATCTGGATATGATTTAGATGATAAGATCTGAACTTAAATGTATTCCATAATATAATGAGACTTTAGGGTACAGAGTAAGTATATATATGCTTGTTAGTGAGACAAGAACCATGGCTAGGGAGCAAACTGATAGTTTTCAAAGATGTCCCTCAAACAATTCCTCCTCTTCCTTGGACTCCTCTCTTCGGCGGGTAGAGTCCATTTCTTTTTCCTTTTAATCTGGATTGCCTTCTAACTCACTTTGACCAATAAAATATGGTAAAAGTAAGGTCTGGCAGTTTTCACTTTCACTCTCCTGAGATTTCATGTTAGAATTCCACGATATCCTGCTAGAGATATCCACATTTCTAGGGACATTATGAGTCTAAAGACACCACATGGAGAGAAAGGCCACCTAGGGAAGAACTGAGATGCCCCAGTCAATAGCACTGCCTTAGTCTGTTTGGGCTACTATAACAAAAATGTCGTAGATTGAGTGACTTTTTTTCTTAAAAAAAAAAAAGGAGATTGTGGAACCTGAAAATACAGTGTGGTAAGACTGGAGAGAAAGGCCACCTAGGGAAGAACTGAGACACTCCAGTCAATAGCATTGCCTTAGTTGGGGCTACTAGAACAAAAAATATCATAGATTGAGTGACTTAAACAACAGAAATTTATATCTTACATTTCTGAGACTTAAAGTCTGGATGTAAGATCAGGGTGTCAGCATGGCTGAGTGTTTAATGGGGGCTCCCTTCCTAGTTTGCAGACAGCCATCTTCCTGCTATACCCTCACACGATGGAGAGAGAGAGTACTCTGGCATCTTCATCCTTTTATAAGGGCACCAATCCCATCGTGGAGGGTCTTCAACCTCATGACTTCTTGTAACCAAATTACTTTTCAAAGTCCTCACCTCCAAATACAGCACATTGAGGTTTAGTGCTTCAACATATGAGTTTCAGTCCATAGAAAGCACCAAAGCCCCAGACAAGTTAGATCTTGAACCTCCTAATTCAGCTTAGCCACAGTCTGCATGCAATCACGTAAGTGATCCCAGGTGACACCATTTGGAGCTGAAGAACCAACAGCCAGTACAAAGAAATGAGAAATTTTTAAATCGTGCATCTAAACAGTTAAGTTTTGGGGTGATTTATTACACAGCAATTAATAACTGATACAACAGTCTTTTTGTTTGTAAAAGAGCGGATAAGAAGAAAACGTGTGAAGAAAAGACCTGTAGAAGGTTGGGGGCCTATGTACCTCTATTTTTTTTTTCATAGTGCCGTGTTTCTTTCAGTCCATGCTAGTGGTATCTTCCTCAATGCAATTTTCTTTAAAACTCTGTGAGCCTTTATATCAGATTAGTCCATCCCATTAGAAAAAAAAGCTACTTCTATAAATATTGAAACATTCCTTTTTTACCTTGGGCTGAGAATCAGGGTGCTATAGAAAATTCCCATAAGATTCTCTTGCCTACTGGGGTGATGAGGCATTGCTGGAAGTGATTCTAAAGTCTTCACAAAGGATCTTACAACAGCCTTTGATTTTATTATTACTCTGCGACCATGTTTTACTGTTGTCATCTTCGGCTTTTCTCCTCTTTGCCCTGAGGTCATTTATGAAGTGGAAAATACTTTGCTGGCTGGTGAAGTTGGGAATAGAAAACAGCAGAGAATACTTCAAAGAGTATTCTAAATATGCACTAAGTTTATAGGAAGATATGCAATCTACATATTTTAACTTCCTCTCTAGGCCAATTATAAAAATCTTTGAAAACTTAATACTATATTTTAGTATGAATATAAGTTAAACTTGGAGGTGATATTTATTTTGTGGTTAAATGTATTATAAACTTTTATTTAATGAAATATAGGAGAATCGTAACAAGCAGGCATGAATATTTAATGAGCAATGTTAATTTCTGAAGCAGAAAGAAAGATGAATAAAAATTCTGGTTTTACTTTTAAAAGTGAAAGCTAATTATTAGCTCAAGAAATACTTTATGTTTGTTCTGTATGAAAGTGTTGATTGCACCTGGTTCTCTACAGCAAATTAAATAAAAATTCAAACATTTATAAAATAATATTTATTTGCCCTTGAACACTAAGACCTTAATGTGTATAATTTATTAACAACATCAACTTTTAAAAACAAATATATATATTTGGCAGTGCTGCAAACAGAATCTAAATTATTGAATCAATTTTTCTAGTTGATGATTGTTTCTTTTTTAATTAAGCATATATTTTGAAATTTTATAACCACCCTGATTCTGAAAAATAAAGTCATTTGTTGCCTTCAAGGATCCTTAGGTCTAAGTAAAATGGATTCTAAAACCAAAATTAAAGTAAATCTAGATTGCTTATATTCCAAGAGATTAACTAAGCTTCTTATTTATTATAGAAGTTTTTTTTCACAGTTACCGTGATATATATTCCTGTCTGTTTTTGTATTATTAAATATTTGCTATTGTAACATTTTTTCCCTTCCAGTTTCTCAAACAAATATTTCACAAATGTTTTAGGCAACCCTAGAGAAATCTTTAATACTTTAATGCACAATACATTCTGCTTTTCATGCACTTTGTCCAGAGGGAAGAAAGGAGGAAGGAAGGAAAGGAAGAAGGAAAGAAAAGAAGAAGGGAGGGAGGATGGAAGGCAGGGAAATGGGAGGGAGGGAGGAGGCAAGAAGGTAAGGAAGGAGGGAGGGAGATAAAAGGGAATGAAAGAAGGGAGGGAGGGAGTGAGAAATGGCAGAAGGCAGGAAAGAATAGATGGAGGAAGGGAGGGAAGGAGAGAAGCAGCAAATAAACTGGCTGAACCAAGTGGCCTAATATTTTGTAATCTTAGGGGATATAATTTCTTTTTTTTTTTTTTCTTCCAAGACACATTTCCCTGAAAACATGTTATTTGTATTTAAAAAATAGAAGTTTTCAGTGGGAACACATGGACACAGGGAGCGGAGCATCACACACTGGGGTCTGTTGGGGGGAAATAGGGGAGGGACAGCGAGGGGTGGGGAGTTGGGGAGAGATAGCATGGAGAGAAATGCCAGATATAGGTGAAGGGGAGGAAGGCAGCAAATCACCCTGCCACGTGTGTACCTATGCAACAATCTTGCATGTTCTTCACACATACCCTAAAACCTAAAATGCAATAAAAAAAAATAGAAGGTTTTGTTATTTTTGGAAACTATTTTTGAAAGTTAAAAATGTTTTCCAAATTTAAGATTGGGCACCTCAGTTTATTTGAACAATGGGAATTAAGACTCTATTTCAAAAGTAAATTAAGATAAAATTAATGCACAGAGATATTTAAAACTGGAACATGGTATCTTCAGAAATCTAAGCTATCCTCCTGGAGAAAAGGACCATGTGGCAAGTCCCTGGAGACGCTGCAAGGAAAGAAAGGCCACATACACTACAAGGAAAGAAAGGCCGAAAAGGAAAGAAAAGGAATAACTGAAGTACTCCAGTCATTAACACCAAGGAAAGAAAGGGAATAACTGACATACCCCAATCATTAACACCAAGGCCCCAACTAAGTAAGAGAAGACTTCATGAACTTTCTCGTTCAGCTTAACCAACAGGTGAACTCAGCTGTAAGAGCAACCCCAGCTAACATCACTTGAAGCAGCTATTGAAAATAGTTAAACTGAATAACACATAAGTACCATATCAGGAAACCAGGTAGCTGACTGATTATTTTCATTACCTAGTCATTAATTCTATTATATGCTGTCAGTTTGTCGCATATGGCCTTTATTGTATTGAGGTTCACTTCTGTACTTTAATTTGTTGAGAGTTTTGTTATGAAAGGATGTTGAATTTTGTCAAATGCATTTTCTGCATCTGTTGAGATGATTATAAGTTTTTTGTCTTTCATTCTGCTAATGTGGTATATCACATTTATAGATTTGCATATGTTGAATCATCCTTGTATCCCCGGGATAAATCCCATTTGGTCATGGTAAGTGACCTTTTTAGTTGAATTTGGTTTGCTAGTATTTTGTTGGGGATTTTTTGCATCTGTGTTCATCAGGGATATTAGTCTGTAGTTTCTTTTTTTCTTGTAGTGTTCTTGTCTGGCTTTGGAATTACTCACTCTTCTTCAAAGTTTTGAAGGGTTTGAGGACTGATATTACTTCTTCTTTTAATATTTGGCAGAATTTAGCAGTGAAGCCATCAGGTCCTCAGCTTTTCCTTGATGGGTGACTTTTTAATTACTGACTCAATCTCCTCATGTGTTACTGGTCTGTTCAGATTTTCTATTTCTTCATGATTCAGTCTTGGAAAGTTGTATGTATCCAGGAATTTATCCATTTCTTCTAGATAATTCAGATGATTGCATATAGTTGTTCATGATAGTCTTCTTGTATGATCCTTTGTGTTTCTGTAGAATCAGTTGTAATGTCTCTCTTTCATTTCTGATTATTTGAGTCTTCTCCCTTTTTTTCTTAGTTGAGCTAAAGATTTGTCCATTTTTTTTATCCTTATAAAAACCAACTTTTGGTTTCATTGATTCTCTTTATTATTTTTATAGTCTATATTTTATTTATTTCTGCTCTGATTTTTATTATTTGCTGCATTCTGCTAACTTTGGGCTTTGTTCGTATTTCTCCAGTACTTGAGGTGTAACTTCGGGTTGTTTATTTCAGATCTAGCTTCTTTTTGGTGTAAGTGTTTATCAATTTAAATTTCCATCTTAGAAATGCTTCTCTGCATTCTTATTTCTAGTAAAATTTTCCAATCCATGCTGGAAAAATGGCAAACTATGTTTTCTTCAGATCTAGGCATACAGTGCAATCAATGTTTATATTATCTTTTTCAATAAACCTTTTGTACTCCTATCAGTCTTCTGATTATAAATCATTGTCCAAATAAGTATTTTGGTAGATATAAAAATTTTTGCCTTGACTACAATTTTACTACATAAAGTAATGGTTCTCTCTATGTCAGGAGATGAGCCAGTTATGTATTTAGAAGTTTTTTATATGTCTTATTTTATTTTTAAAAATTTTATATTAGGATTGTGCATAGTGGTTCATACCTGTAATTCCAGCACTGGGAGAAGCCAAGGTGGGCAGATCACTTGAGGCCAGGAGTTTGAGACCAGCCTGGCCAACATAGAAATCCTCTAATAAAAATACAAAATTAGCCAGGTATTGTGGTGCATGTCTGTAATTCCAGCTACTCAGAAGTCTGAGGCACGAGAATCACTTGAACTTGGGAGATGGAGGTTACAGTGAGCCAAGATTGCACCACTGCACTCCAGGCTAGGCAACAGAGTGAGATTC